GTTTGTCAACACTATTAGTTACACAAGATTCGAGTGTGTGCGGCTCAACAGGCTGCGGAAAAGAGGTCAAAACAGGAATGTCGTGCACACACTGCCAGAACTTTCACGCTGCATGCGCCAATCTACCGATTAAGAAGATGAAACAGATGTTGGCACAACAGGACTGTTTTTGGTTTTGCAGTGATTGCACGAAAACTCCGGTAGTAAAATACATGATGGGCATTGAAAATAGGTTCGATAAGCTACTATCAGCTGCGGAAGATAAAGCTAACTTGAGAATTTCAGAATTAGAAAAAGGATAGCTACTCTGAGCTCCCAGACCCCTCCATCGAGCCCAATCCAACGACCGGCTAAACGTCAAAAGTGTTCGTTAATCAGCACCGCTCCAACGCAATGTATAACCTCTGCCGGTATAAACATGGTTTCCACTGTAACGAATGATGCGTAAAAGTTCCTGAACAGAAAATTGTTTTCCTTCAAATAAAACCTGTCATGTCCACACCAAAGCCTTCGATACTGGTGAAAAAAGTTGGGAGAAGCACCGCCTTGACAAGTATCTGCACAGATGTACCCGAACCGACAACCCAACCACTTAGAGAACGACAAAGAGGAGATGGAACACTGATATGGTTTGCGCGCGCAGATGGGTGTTATTGTTTTACCTGTCGGCCTCACAAGACCCATGCGCCAGCCGACGTCGCCACATGCAGGGGAACCCAGACTGCTCCGGGTGACCCTGAAAGATAAAAAGGAGTTGAGGGACGTTCTTCTTTCTAGTTACCTTCTCAGAAAGAGTCCCTGCCCAATAAGAATCTTCCTTGATAGGCCAGGGACGGAACGAATGCAGCACCAGTCCGGTCTAATGAGAGCACGAGTAGAGGAAAATAAGAGGGTCGTCCTCATCCATGGTGTACCGCAGTTGGACGATCCAGATGAACCAAAGGGTTATCAGAACGATCGAAGAGAATGGCAATTCATTCAAAATCTACTTAAGTGTAGCGACCTTTTGACAACCTCAATCAGTCGTCTTCCCTGTTCACCACATTACCGTGGTAACGGTCCGAGGATAATGAAAGTTAGCCTTGGAACTCCAGAAATGCCGAACACAGTTTTACAGTTATGACGGGAAAGAACGAACAGAGGGTCTCCGGAAATACGTGTGAGACCCTTAGTCAATCCCGGACTCACAGCACGCCCAAATATGGAGAACCCTTCTGATACAACAGATCACTCCATGCAGGTACCGAACTCCGTCACGCAACCCGAGGTCCAAAGTACCAGAGCTCCTCTGCCAAAAAGCTAATAGTGGCCGACCGCAAAGCGGTCAGCCGAAATACCACTTCGTACCCAAGCG